TCCTCCTCCTCCTCCTCCTCCTCCTCCTCCTCCTCCTCCTCCTCCTCCTCCTCCTCCTCCTCCTCCTCCTCCTCCTCATTATCCTCATCATCATCCTCCTCAGGTGGGCGACGCAGGAGAACGGTTTCGACTGCGCCGACATTATCGCTCAAGTTGCCCGCGTGAGGTCGTGCGTGAGCGCCTTCGTCGTTCAAATGGGGTCTGAGTAGATTGGGGCCAGTCGGATCGCGCCGCATCGCCGATGAATGGGCGATGCGGCTCGATGTGGAGCTCGATTCTCTCCACGTTGACGTTCCCGATGCATCGGCGATGCGGCGCGATCCTCCGACCTCAGCTACTCCGACCTCATCTGGGAGCTAGAGGCGCGAGGGCGACGTTCGTCGGGGGCAGCCAAGATGGGGGTGGGAGGCCATGAGATCCCCCCGGATTGCATGGCCAGTGGCCATCATTTGCGAACCCTTGGACGCCCGCCCCGCTTCTTGGACGTCCCCGAGCGGGAGGGGGCAGGTTCAGGAAGGGGGGTGCATCGACCCCCCATCGCATGTTGATCGCCGATGGGGGCCCGACAGCCCCACCCCGTCCAGGAGCGTGCGGATTCGCTGCCGGGGGCCTATCGCCGACCTGACGGCGATGCATCGCCGATTCCAGCTCGATGCTGCCACCCCTGCGTTGGCCCCCCCGTAATGCCGAAGATTCTCCAGACGAGGGCGGCGGCGAGGGGCGAGGGGCGAGGGCGACGACGAGGACGTTCAGGCCGCGGGGATTGGCTCGACCACTGCCGCCAGTCCGGCTCCGGGCCCCCCTCGGGGGAAGACCCGCACCGCAGCACAGCTGCACGACCGCTCTCCCCCGCCTCGGAGGAGGGCGGGCGGGGCCGGCGGCGGCGGGCCTGCGTGGGGGACCCTCGTCGCCACGGCTGGACGCAGCTCGGACAGTTGGTTTGCCTGGACCCCGAGAGGGGCCCGGGGATTGATTGCGAAGGCCTTACGGCCGGTGCCGCCGACCCTGAATGGCGACGACGACGACGACGACGACGACGACGACGACGACGACGAGCGCTCTTGGGGGCCTCTTGGGGGTAGTTTGTGGGCCTCTTGGGAAGCTCTTAGGGGCCGCTTGGAAGCCTCGTGGGACCCCGAGAGGGGCCCGGGGATTGATTTCGAATCGCCGTTGTCTCAACTCGCCCATTTCCGACCAAGTGCTCCAGGATGAGCAGCATGATGAACGCACGTCCCGCACGTGCGGGACCGCAGGTCGGCGTCCGTGGACGGTTCCCCCCTCTCACCCAGAGCTTTGCGGAGGGCGCTCGGGAAAGCGACTATGACAACGTCGACGAAGGTGGGGGCGAGGACGACTTGCACCAGCGAGGGCGCGGGCGAAGACGGGGGCGAGGACGTCGAAAGTTGACGACGACGAGGACGACGGCGACAGCGACGACGACGGCGAGGGCGAGGGCGAGGGCGAGCGCGAGGAGGATGCGGAGTTACCCCTTCAAGCATATACGCGGCATGTTCACTCATCTAAGGCCGTTTGATGGAGGTCCATCTTGTAGGACACGACAGGCGGGTGCGAAGCTGGGGCTCGCAATTATTGACCGTTCTTGTTGGTCGTACCTAGCTCGTGTCTATCGTATTGGCCTTCTCCCCATCAGCATCGTCCACCTCCACATGATCCTCCTGCTCCTTTCCGAGTGCAGCACCATCACGGTTACATACAAGCTGTTCCTCCCGCGCCGTTGTTTTACAGTCCGCGGGCTTGGAGACGCCAATCGCGTGCTCATCACCGCACGGGGCCCGTTAGCCCACCCCGCCCAGGATATTGCGGACTCGCTGTCGGGCGCTTGCCGCCGATCCGTCGGCGGTGCATCGCCGATTCCAAGCTGATGTTTCCCCCCTGAACCAGCCCCCCCGTGGCACTGCTATTCATTCCTGGGGACTCGCGTGGGCCCGCGGAGCTTGCGTCAAGCAGCACAAATCCGCCCGTTGGGCCCACAAATCCGACGCTCGAAAGATCGCGGATTCGAGCGCGATGTATTGCAGGCGTCGTCCTGGCATAACCTTCGCCTGGAGAGAAGACCCTCAATTGTAGCTGCGGGTTAGCGAGGGCTGAAAAATCCGACGTTTGAGGGAATCAAGGCGGGTTATTGCGGGGGAATCTCCAGATCGGTCCCGAAATCCCGTTGTGCTTGGATTTTCGTGTCGTATGCCGCCGCAGCGGATAAGATATTGTCACCATATCCAACCACATCACCGCCATCGTCGGATTTATGTGTCCCTCACCACCACGCCATCTCGCTCGCTTCTGTATTCCCGCCCTTTAGTTAGGCCTTCGTACATATTGAATCCACGCTCTGCGTCGGCGAATCGACAGTAACGTTGCTGCTAGACCGAAGCAGGGGGGGGCAGGGCGACCTTTCAAGAAAGTGCAATGTTGAGGAGGAGGAGGAGGAGGAGTTGGAGGAGGAATTACCATCAGCATAGCCATGGTTTTCGTTTGCCTTGATTGTCACTCTTAAAACTATATGGATATGTTCGTCCGATTATTCAAATTGCCATCGATCGTTTCTGCAGAGTTGACTCGATTTGGTGATTCACCTTCTGCTTCACCTCTCGTCCACCTTTGACGCGTCTGTGCCTTAGATTCTAGTGGCCTGGCTCTGTCGATTCGGCATGGAGTGTCACACTGACAAGCAATGAGTATCTTGGGCACTCACAGTCTGCCACTGTGGCACTTCAGGTTCACGATTGCAAATCGTGTGTTCGGAAAGTGCGCGTTTTTTGTTCGTTTGCTAATCCGCTTCCCCCCATTCCCTCGCGCCGACAAATGCCGACGACGACGACGACAACGACGACCGTCGGTTCGTCGCCGTCGTTTGCAGACGCGATGGAGAGGGGTGATTCCCCCCCCTGCACCGGGAGAGATTCGGGATCCGCAACCCCTTTTCCCCCTCTTGCGCGAGGGAGGAGGGGTCTCCGTTTCGGGTACGTGCCTTCAGATATTTCTCAGACAAGCGCCCGTGAAATACGTTTCATCTGTTTTAAATAGTCCAGCCGACTCCCACACATTAGGACAGCGCGTAGCATTACGTGCGAATGCCTCCACAGCGGCATGAGTGCCTGGGGGAGCACTTCAATTGGATTGGAGCCGCTCGTTTTTCGACGGGTCACTCATTCGTTGCCATGAGATCGGCATACTATCTCCCCATACACGCACGCTGCGTGATTCGGATAACTGCGATACGCATTGCCATGGTTGTTGAATCCCGAGAAAGGGGGTGCAGGTAGTTTCGGCCAGGCCGGTTCGGAGGTCGCAAGCCTTGCCAAATTTGTCAGCGTCGATCCCAAGTTTGGCAGCGTTGGGACGCGAAAATTAATGCCGTGCGCCGCGCCCTCTGACTGACGCGGTCATTGCGGCTCCCTGATCGCGCCCAGGACTTCAGCCGTATATTGGACGGCTGGTTGAGCACGTTGGAGGACGCCGCCGCCCATGATCTACCCGGAGGAGGAGGAGGAGAAGGAGGAGGAGGAGGAGGAGCATGAGGAGGAGCATGAGGAGAAGCAGGAGGAGGAGGAGGAGGGGCATGAGGAGGAGGAGGAGGAGGAGGAGGAGGAGCCCGCCATTCGGGTGTTGGCAAAGGTGGGTTTTCCCAGGGTTGCACAGGCGGCCTCCAGAGAACCCCTCTCAAGGCCCAGAACGCTCCAGGGGCTCGTAGCGGAGCCCAACTCCACGTAACTTTCCCCGTTTGATCTCTCTCCTCCTCCTCCTCCTCTCCTCCTCCTCCTCTCCCTCCTCTCCTCCTCCTCCTCCTCCTCCTCCTCCTTCCTCTCCTCCTCCTCCTGCTCCTCTTCCTCCTCCTCCTCCTCCTCCTCCTCCTCCTCCTCCTCCTCCTCCATCTCCCCAGCCTTCTTTTGGCTCAAGCCATGTTGGCTCGGGTGCCTGCCCCGCGCCCCCGGCGCTAGGAGCTCAAGTTCGCAGCAATGGGGGCGGCTCGAGGCCCCCGTGCCACCAGTCCGCAGCCATCTTTCAGCGAGCTCCTGCAGGAGCGCGGTCCACCGCGCCAGGCGGGCCTCGCGGCTCGAGGGCGACGGCGTCTGGCGTCGGGCGAGGGAGCGCGGCGCCGCCTTAGCCGGGCACCTGTCACGAGTGGTCCTGCAACGGGTGCAAGCACGAGCGTGTGCCCGGGGTCGCCGTGCTTCACGGCGTGCTTCATGTGCAAGCGGTCCAAGGGAGCGGCTTTCTTTGGGCGCGTTGAGCAAGGAGCGTCGTGTGCCGGTCCCAGCCGAGAAACGCACGGCCAAAAAGATCGTGGAGCTAGATTGGAGCGCCAGCTCAAGGCCGAGAAGTCTACGCGTGCAGACGCAGCTGGGGGCAGTGGCAGCATTGAGGTCGAGGAGTCGAACGGGGATGATGGCAAGGATGTCGGGATCCAGATTGCCATATTGGACTCGCAGATCGCCCGGCTCTGCAAAGCCCGAGATCGCTGACATATCGAAGGAGCTGCGCGAAGGCCTCACGAAGCAGCGTGCTGAGCTAGTCGTGCAGCAGCTCGCGGCCAAGCCCGTTGGGCCGCACTTCCTGCGGCTCTCGCGGGAGCGCGCGCGACAAGGTCGGCAAGGCCGTGGCCAGTATCGAATCGGAGCTGGAGGCTCAGAACATGCAGCCTGAAGAGCTGCAGGCCTCGATCCTTGAGCCTCAGAGGCTGCTGCAGGAGAAGCGGCGCGAGCACCTGGAGTTCCAGGAGCAGCCGGGCGAGGTGCAGCGGCGGATGGCCCTGGCTCCCGCGCCGAGGCCGAGCTCTCGCCCGGCCGGCGTGCGGTCCTCGGCCTCGGGCGCTCGGGCGACGAGCTGGAGGGGCGTCCAGCAGCACGGCGGCGGCGAGGAGCTCTCGGCGAACGTGGCCCGCGCGCGGAAGGCCAAGCAGCAGGAGGTCGCCCAGGCCCGCCGCGCGGCCTTCCGCGCGGTGCCGCCGGCCTCGCAGTTTTGGGATGATCCCTCCTCAGCTACCTTCTCCTCCTCCTCCTGCCCCTCCTCCTCATCCTCCTCGTTCTTCTCCTCCTCCTCCTCCTCCTCCTTCTCTTCCTTCTTGTCCGTCATGTCCCTCCTTCCTCGCCGATCCTCCACCCCCCCGCTCGCCCTCGCCCTCGCTTCCCTTTTCACCCCAGCCCGATCTCTCTCCCCATCCCCATTATTCCCCGATTCCCTCCGTCCTCCTCAGTATTCTCCTCGTTGTTCGCCCAATCGTCCTCGGCGTTTCCCGCCATGCCCCAGCCTGGCGCAAACGGCCGGGCACGGCCGGCAGGCGACGAGGCGAAGCAAGGCACTTCCTCCCCTTCCTACACCTCCTCCTCGAGGAGAAAGGGCAGGGGGAGGATACCCCTCATATCGCACAGCCAGCTACACATAAGCATCGCACGCACAACGCAAACGTCATCATCTAAATAAACAATCGATTAAAGCTACAGCTCGCAGGCGGGAGAACATCCATTCCAAAGTTTAAACATACCAGCTGTGGATTACACCAAGTGCCCCCACGGTAGAAAAGACCCGGGAAAAGGACAGACATGGAGTTCCACGCGTACGATTTACATTGTGCACAATAAAAAAATGGTGGTGGGCATCGTTTTGATATGTACGCTTGCGCAAACTGCACGCGCACCAATGGTCGCGCTGCCTTCTTTGATGTGAACAAGTGTCTTTTGGAGGTATATGTCTGTGCCGCAAGAACCCAGAGAAACAACGACATCGCTGCTGGCAGACTTGGCCGACATGTAGGCCATGTGTTGTCAGAGGGCTGTTTTTGCGCCCGCCACCCCCTGCTATCTCAAGCTCCACCATCGGGGAGTTGCAGGGTCAGGTGCGCCACTGTGGCTGCCGAGGATTGCGGGCCCCTGCCGTGCAGTCCGAAAGCGGGAAGGGGACCACGAGCGGAGTGGGCACAGTCATTAATCCGCAGAGTGCAATCGTGTTGAAAGTTGCAGCCTTCTTTTTTGTTTGCGGATTTCGTTTTTGGTCTGGACCGTCGGTTGCGCGCCCGTGTTCGAAGCGATGCGTTTCTGATGCCGTCTCCAAGAGAGTGCGGCGCAGCGTCTCGCGAGGGTTGGGGGCGATGTGCTCTCAGAGCGAATTTGCGATGCGAGCCACCTGGCTTGTTCGCGACGCTCCTCGTATTCTCGCCAGCCCATCCAAAAATAATCACCGGGCGAGGTGCCCTGACCAGGGATGCGCAGCAGCATGCAGTTACACCTTGGGAGCCTCCTTGAAGCATCTCGGAGCTTTCGCGCGGCCCTCTTGGGGCCTTTGGGGGTCATTTTGGGTCATTGTGGGGCCCCCATCGGGCCATCGTGGGCTCTGTCGGGGGCCTTGAAGGGCTACTTGGGACCATCGAGGTCATCGATCAAAGAAGGAGGGTAGCCAATGGCGCCCGCCCCCGTCGGAGGCTGAGCAGGGACGAGATCTCCCCAGCAGGTGCCCCCCCCAGAAGCGTGTTCGAGGACTCTGAGCGGGCAGCTCCCCGCGCAGAGGGCCAGGTCGGTGACCGTCACAGGGCCCCCCGTTTCTATCTTCTCGTCTGTGGAGGCAGTTCGTGGCGGTTCTTGGCATGGGTCCTCAACCGTCTCCTCTTCCTTCCCTGTCCCAGGGGAGAAAAAAAAGACACCGACACAAACAGACGTCGATGCCCAGGAAATTCTGGGGCACATGGAAAGTGGGAGGGAAGGCGAAAACCATTGCGACACAGCGACTGTGAGCAGTTGTGGAGTCTCTGCGTGTCCTTGTCTATGTGCGCCTCCTTGGGCCCCTCCAATTCTCGGAGCTCGGAGCCAGCCGCTGGTCTGTCTGCCTCGTCGAGTTCCCTCCTCCTCCTGCTCCTCCTCCTCCTCCTCCTCCTCCTCCTCCTGCTCCTCCTCCTCCTCCTCCTCCTCCTCCTTCTGCAGGAGGCCCAGGGCGCGGACGACCTCGCCCAATGTGCTGGCCAGAAGAACAAGGACGGGACGCGCAGCGCCGCGGGGCCTTTCGCTGCGCGGTCGAGTGTGTGTTTGGAGGCGGGGCCCATCAGGGGCAACGACAAGGGGGGGAGAGCCATAGGGGGGGATGCATCGACCCCCAGCCGACCCCCAGACACCCATTGATCGCTGATATCCTCTGCCCAGGAACGTGCGATTCACTATCGGCGGCCTATCGCCGATCTGTCGGCGATGTATCGCCGATGCCAGGTTGATGCATCCCCCCCTACGCCAGTCCCCCCTATCGTTGCCCCTCCGCTCAGCGCCAGCGAGGGTCAGCGCCGACGGGGGTCGGTCAATCCCCTCCGAGATCCTCTGGCCGATCCAGGATGTCAGCGCAGGATCCCCAAGGTTTATGGTGTATGTTTATGCCATGATTTGTTCCTCGACTTCCCCTCCAAGATTGTCGTGATTGGCGAAAGCGTCATTTCGGGGAAACGTAAGACTCGAGTTCGCCGGAACTCGGGGTTTGCCGACGCTTTTTGACGAGCCCGTCTTGGATTTTGACGGTCCAGTTTTCGTCTGATGTTTGCAGCGGGAGTTCGCGCCAAAATTCAAAGTGGGTCTCGTCATTGTTCTGACGGTCCCGTCATGCCAACCCGAGTGCCCTTGACCCGAGTCTTGCATCTCCCCGATCATAGGTTGGTGAGGAATTCGAAAGACACGCTGGTCAGCCGTGCCTTCGCTTTGCCAGGGGTAAACGGTAGGTTCGCGCCGCGCTGACGCGACGGCTACCCCAGCGCGGGCGTTGAGGGTTCAAACGCCACCAGTGGCCCATAATCTGCCGGTACTGAAATATTGTAGTGGCCTTCGGCCAGTGCCGCCGATCCGGGGCGCTCCGACTGATGTGATCCTTCTTCGCCCTCGTCCCTCCTCTCTTTTTCCCTCCCCTCCTCTCACTCAGCATTTATCGAAGACGCCTACGGCGAATCACCGCCGCCCCCTGCCCTTTCGGAAGCGCCGATGCGGCCGACTGCTGTGGCCAGAGGTCTGCCAAGTTATTGGGCCATATGTTCCCCGAATCGGTCTTTACAGCCTTCGGGGAACACGTGGGGGAGGACGGGGAGGAGAGGAGAGATAGGAAGGGGGGGAATGGAGGAGGAGGTCTCTTGAGTGCCTTTTTGGCTACTCTGGGTTTATATTGGGCCACATGTGCGGTCTTGGAAGCATCTTGGGGGCCTCTTTGGATGCCTTGCGGCCTTCCTGTTCTGCCTGACGCCGTCTGGGCTGGGTTGGGGGCCTCTCTGTGGCCTCACTTGGGTTTATCGTGGCCGTAGTGGACGCCAGCGTGGGCGTTTGGGAGGCCTTTTGCGGGCCTTTTGGGCCGTCTTAGACCATCTTGAGGCCATCTTGGGCCGTCTTGGGTGCATCTTGGAGCCATCTTACCCGTCTTGGAGGCCATTTTGGCCGTCTTGGAGGCATCTTGGAGGCCATCTTGGGCCATCTTGGCCGTCTTGGAGGCCATCTTGGGCGTCTTGGAGGCCTCTTGGGCCGTCTTGAGGCCCTCTTGGGGCCTTCTTGGGGGCCTCTTGGGCCGTCATGGGGCCATCTTGGAGGCCTCTTGGGTGCTGTTGGGGCGATGTTGGGGACCTCATGGGCCGTCTGGGGCCGTCGGAGAGCTGAAAAGAAGAACATGCCAAAATCCTTGAAAAACCTAAGGAAAATCAATGATTTTAACCTATTCGGGCCTTCCTGGAGGGCGTCTTGGAGGGCTCTTGGGCCGTCTTGGAGGCCTTTTGCCGGCCTTTTGGGCCGTCTTAGACCATCTTGAGGCCATCTTGGGCCGTCTTGGGTGCATCTTGGAGCCATCTTACCCGTCTTGGAGGCCATCTTGGCCGTCTTGGAGGCATCTTGGAGGCCATCTTGGGCCATCTTGGCCGTCTTGGAGGCCATCTTGGGCGTCTTGGAGGCCTCTTGGGCCGTCTTGAGGCCCTCTTGGGGCCTTCTTGGGGGCCTCTTGGGCCGTCATGGGGCCATCTTGGAGGCCTCTTGGGTGCTGTTGGGGCGATGTTGGGGACCTCTTGGGCCGTCTTGGGCCGTCGGAGAGCTGAAAAGAAGAACATGCCAAAATCCTTGAAAAACCTAAGGAAAATCAATGATTTTAACCTATTCGGGCCTTCCTGGAGGGCGTCTTGGAGGGCTCTTGGGCCGTCTTGGAGGCCTTTTGCGGGCCTTTTGGGCCGTCTTAGACCATCTTGAGGCCATCTTGGGCCGTCTTGGGTGCATCTTGGAGCCATCTTACCCGTTTGGAGGCCATCTTGGCCGTCTTGGAAGCATCTTGGAGGCCATCTTGGGCCATCTTGGCCGTCTTGGAGGCCATCTTGGGCCAAGTTGGGGCAACAAAGGCATTGACAGATGGATTTTCGGAAACTTGCGGGTGGCCGGCGGGACGGGCCGAAGCCCACTGGGGAGTTCTTTTAGAAAAAGAACCAAAACCAAAACCTGAAACATCCAGCACGCCGTGCACCCCTGTGGCAAGACCACAGGGGGCGGCGGATCCAGTGGCCGTCGGCCTATCCCGCCACCGTGCGTGGGTGGTGGGTCAGAGGCCTCATGGATGCTGGTTGGGATCTCGTGGTTGGCTGGGACTTCTGGGGGCCTCTTGGGCGCCTCTTGGGGCTTCTTGGGGGCCTCTTGGGCCTCTTGGGGCCACTAGAGGGCCTCTTGGGGGTCTCTTGGGAGCCTCTTGGGGCTTCTTGGGGGCCTCTTCTGCGCCCCTTGGGGCCTCTTGGAGGCCTCCTCGGAGCCTCTTGGTGCGGGAGGGGTGGTACTCGAGTTCGGAACCCCCTCGGAGGCCACGATCCTTGTGAGGGGTGTCAAAAAACGCATCCGCCGGAAACTCGCACCCCCCCGCCCCCCCCACCCACCCCCCCTTCCCCGGCAGAGCCACCCCGGCAACCCCCCCAGAGGCTGAGGCTCAGCCTCGAGGCTGTAGCTCAGCCTCGAGGCTGTAGCTGAGACTCCTTGAAACTCACACGCCGGATCGGCGGATTTTTGTGATATCGGAGAAGCGCGATCGTTGAACGTTGAACGGTTCACGCGGCGTCAGGAATCAATGTCGACGTCGTCGCGACTCGAACCCGCCTCGGGGTACTTGGGCGAGGGCATGCCTGCGCGTCCAACAGTTCAGCGCAACGCAGGAGTCTCGATGTCGGCGCGAAACGCCAAGGGCCCGTGCTGGGCAAGCCGTTGTGAGGCAGTCGGTCTGCCGATGGCATCCGCCCCAGCTCATGTGCAGCACTTCGCGGTGCGATCTTTGTCGGGGAAACGTCAGGCTCGAGTAAGCCGGGACTCGGGTTTGCCGACGTTTTTTCGTCGAGCGCGTCCTGGATTTTGACGGTCCCGTTTTCGTGGGATGTCTGCAGCGGGAGCCCGCGTCAAATTTCAGATTGGGTCTCGGTCTCGTCATTTTTCTGATGGCCCCCGTCAGGCCAACCCGAGTCCCTCGTACCCGCGTCTTACGTCTCCCTGACTTTGGAGAGATAGGACGCCAGGTGTGGTCAGGACGCTGAGGTCAAGGACCACCTCTGGCAAGGCTCGCTTCGATTCCTCTGATTCGATTCGATTCGATTTGGATGGCGATTCCGATTCGATTCGACTTGGGATTCCGATCTGGGGTCCGATTTCTTACTGGAGGCCTACTAGCCTGCCGATGTCTGCCGATTCGACCTTTCCCGACTCGGCTGCCGATTTCCGCCGATCCGACTCATCTCGTTCGCCGATCCGACTTGTCGATTCGATTCTGGGCTCTCCTGCTCCGGTTTCGAGCGGCGCTGTGGTGCTCAGGAGGAGGAGGAGGAGGAGGAGGAGGAGGAGGAGGAGGATCGGGCCGTTCCGCAGATCTGGGTCGAGGAAAGCCCGCTCGAGGCCGCGGTTCGCCGTGGCCAGAAACGCCCACAGTGTGGCGCCCCTCGCTCAGGAGGGGAAAAAACAAGCACAGACACCATGAACCGCCGATCCCCCAGAAAAGATGGGAAACTATGGGAAGTGGGGGCAAAGGCGAAAATCCAGAAATATCGGGCAATATCGGAAAATATGGAGAAAATATCGAAAAAACACAGACACAATGAATCGTCGATCCCCCAGAAAAGATGGGAAAATATGGCAAGTGGGGGGGAAGGCGAAACTCCAGAACACATCTTGGAAAATGTGGGGAATCCTGGGAGTTGTGTGTATATCTATGTTTGTGCGTCCCAGGGCGAGGGCCCCCCCTTCAATATTGTCCTCCAATATTTTGTGGCGTCCCTGACCTGCATGGCGGCACGACGCCCGCGGGAGTGTGCACATCACGGAACGTCCTCGGCACGGATCCCCGACAGGGGCCCCTTGCTCGTTGATTGGGCGCAGCGTAATGGGGGGATCATAAACGGGGGGGTGGCGAGGGTGGTCCGAAAAGGTACCCGAACGGTACCTAAACGAGCCCCCTGGGGCTCTGGAGGGGCCCGAAAGGGGCACGAAAGGGGACCTTTTCTGACCCCCCCATTTGTGACCCCCCCATTAAGCCACGCCCAAGTGGACCGCCTCCTTGCTCAGTGCTTGCGCGTCCCGCTTTGTGGTCTCTGCCCTTGTCGCCCTCCTCACACGGGAGGCTCGAGTGCAGGGCGCGGGGCGGGCTGTGGGAGTGCCCGCAGGGGCGTGGAAGCAGGCCGTGGGGTCTTTGGCCTGGCCCCTGCCGACCTCATTACGCGGGTGGCAGCAAGCTCCTGGGCCTGCGGAGCGGGCAGGCGCAAGCAAATCGATTGGCCAAGCTGTTCCGACACGCTTCTCCCATTTAGCACCGACTGTGTGGGGGAGGCCCGATCCAGTCAGCCGGTAATGTGCACTCCCTCGTTGTATCTTTCATTTTTCCATCCAGTGACGTGTCGTCGTCTCTCTTTGCTTGTGTGTATCTCTCTCTCTCTCTCTCTCTCTCTCTCTCTTTGTATATATATATATATATATATATATATTCTTCCATATATGCATGCACATAGTATCTAAATATATCTGTGTATAAACATTCGTTTCTCGATGTCACACACTATGTTTGTTTTGTCCCTGCTTCTCTTATCTCACTTCTTCTCGTTCTCTCTCTCTCTCTCTCTCGCTCTCTGGGTCTTGAACTGGAGTTGCATCTTCCTTATCCGTCACAGATGTCCGGGTTCTTCGACAGCTGGATGGGCGGTGTTTTCAAGCGCACGTGAGGTTGCGGGGTCTGCCCCGCGCGCGCAGAGGCCCACGGGCTTTTGCGAAATCGCAGAGTCGTGGTTCTCATGCACGCCCGCAGGCGCAAGTGGATTAGTGCACCCTCGCCCTCGGCGGCAGAGGGTCACAAGCCCACAGGCCTAGCGGACTGTGCAGTAGAGAAGTGAGTTTGTCGCTTAGTGGATTTGGGCCGCATGCACACGTTGGGGCCCCGGATCCTATCGGCAG